TCCCAAGAGCTGGGATTACAGGCACACGCCACCACACCCAGCACACGCCACCACACCCAGTCTCAGTGGCCATCTCAGGGCACCCTGGGAGCGGGGCTGGCACGGCAGGCCTGGGGATCGAATCCTGGCCCCTGTGCCTGCTTGCAGGTGCTTTAATCTGCTGAGCTATTTGGCCAGCCCTTATATATCATTTTAATTTATGAAATACAGTCTCTTTCTTGGGTGAGAAAGGAAAAGCTTCCTGGGCTCACAGTGGGCTGGCAGGTAGACCAGGGGAAGATGTTTGCTCAGGATACAAACCTCAACCCAGCGCCACTTGGGGCAGGACAGTTAGGGTCCTCACAAAACATCCTGACAGGTGGGGAGAAGGCAGAACCTGCACACTGCTAACTACCAAGCTAACAACAGATAAAGTGTGAAGGCCCAGAACTTTCTGCTGCTTTAAGCTATTTCTAACATTATCCCAGTTGCGAGAAATACAGTGTCCCTAAGGTACTACAAAGTCAGCTCCTGATGGGGCCGGCGAGATAGCGATAGCTCAGCGGTCTAAAGTGTCTGCTTAGGCAAGCTTAAGAGGACAAGGATAGTGGCTTATTCTCTGCTGTATTTTGTCCCAGGTCTTGGTGATGAGTACTTGAAGCAGTGGTCCAGGGTGAGAAGTGACCGTCCCCATGGCTTGGGAGACGTGACACATCTTAACATGCTCGATAAACACGCACTGCCTGTCAGCTCCTGCTGCATCCTGAGCCGCCAACCCCTCACCTGGAGGGGCTCCCCAGGTGCCACCCTCACTACTTTTTTACTGTACCCAGCCCCTGTGGGGCAGGCATGGGATCTCCCTCCAATCCTAATTCCCTCAGGATGACTTCCAGACCCTTTCAGTAGTCTAGAATCCACACTGCCAGCTGTCTACAGGGCATCTCCACCTGAGTGCCCTGGGCTCCATAAATACAGCTATGTCTACAGGCAGGGACAGGTCTGAGTCGCAGGGGGCCTCGGAAGCACAGAGGTCAATGGCTTTTGTTCTGAAATAGGAAGCTGCTGTTGGAGCTCTCTGTGGAAACATGACCAGACTTTGACTGCAGTCAGAAAACTGGAGTCCTTTGCTGCCCCTACCCCACCATTTCCAGTCAGTTCCCCTGCTCCAATCCCTGCTATTCCTTTGACAGCTTAGGGCCTAATCATCTCTAGTTTACAAATGATGCCTCTGCCTCCAGTCTTTGGTGGTCCCTTGCCCACAGACCACCAAAGTGGCAGATACAAAATTTCCACCTCCCTTGCTCAGACTCTTCAGTGACTCTTCACCCACAGAAAAATGTCCTTGGATCATCACAGGGCACACACAGCTCTCTCCTGATGAGTCCCCGTCTACCTTGTCTACACCCTTCTGCAGTTAAACTGCTCAGATCTCCCTCTGCCCATCCTGGGTACAAACACACACATCTCCAGTGCTCCTGCTTCTCTGCTAAGTCTCATCTCTCCCTGGCTCAGGAAACCCCTACTTTTTTTTTTTTTTTTTTCAGTACCAGGGATTGAACTCAGGACCCTGAGCTTACCAGGCAAGCGCTTATTCTACTGAGCTGTCTCCCTGGCCCCAGGAAACCCCTACTGTTTGGAATATCTCTACTGGCCCTTGCTTTCCTGGAAAATTTTTCCTTAGACATCACTTCAGTGAGGAAGTTCCATGATTCCCCTCGGGTCCTCGATGAAGTTTGAATATAGGCTGCCTTTTCTCTTTGTAGTTCTGGGGATGGGCCCCAGGGCCCCATGCGTGCTCAGTAAATGTTCCACCCCCATACAAGCAGTCTTATGCTTTCTATTATGGACAAAATGCAATTGGTCATTCACTTGTCTTCCCTTACTCTGAATAGAATTCTTCACGGCCTGGCAGGACACCACTCTCTTCTATTTCCCAGCCTCCTACAGGGGGCGCTGGTAAGTGTGCAAACCCTGCATCTGGCTAACATGGAACTGCCCTGTATGTACCTTTTCATGAGCCGGTGGCAAGAGGTGTGCCTTGGCACGAGTACGATTTCTGTCAGAGCTGGAGATGGCAGAAGAAAAGCAAGAAGGCTAAGAACTCTGCGTGTGAGGACCAGGCAAGAGGATGAACTGTATGGCTCCCCCACAACCTGCTGGGATGTTGTGGAGCCCCTGCTGTCTCTCCTTACAGCCTCCCCCTCTCTCCCAGGCCGCAGGGCATCATCCTCCCCGAAACAGCACACACTCACCGGGTGTCTGTGCCTCCAGAGCTGGTGAAGAAGGCTGGAAGAGAGGCCCGGTCAGAGAAAGGACCACCCCCAAGGCTGACAGAGGCAGGACAGGGGCAGAAGAGGCAAGGGGACTCCTGGCCACAGGGAGGGTGGGCTCTGGATTAGCGAGGAAGGGCCACTGTGCCTCCAGCTGGCTCAGAGACAAGACGCTAGGGCAGGTTCTCAGAGAACTGAGCTGTGGTTGACAAGGGATCGGGGAGTGGAAGGGGACAGAAGGCAGCGTCTCTGAACACCAAGGACCTGAGGTGAGGATCACCGTGTTTGGATATCTGAGTCCCTTGGTCTTTTGTCTTTTTCTTGAGGGGCACAGGGTACATGTGGCAGCGAGCAACAAACAAGGCCTCTTCCGTGAGTTCAGTGCTGATCCGAGTCAGGGATTCTTCAGAACGAGATACGGAAGCCTTCTGGGGAAACAGAAGCCGAGGGGCTCAGCCTGGGAATTCCTAACTCAGTCTGGGCCTCCCGCATTTGCGAGCTCTAAAGCTGGGGTAGCCAGGGGCTAAAGAGCTGGCACTGAGTGTTTGTGGCTTGAGGTGGCCATAAGGCCCCAGAGCTAGGGGACCGACGTGGGGAGTCACAGGACCTAAAGGCTCAGTGTCCAGACTGGAGTCTCAGCCCTTGGGGCCCAGACCCGGGTCTGGGGGTGCCTGCCTTGCAGCTCGGAGCAGCACACCCCGACTGCTACCACTCCGCGCGCGGCGCTCACCGGCCCTCCGCTGGAGGTCAGCGCGGCTTCAGGTGACCAGTTGTTTTCCTCCTTCTGGACAGTAGATGCCATGCCCTGGGAAGGAAGCCGGCTTCAGCCTGGGCGCCAGCCCCTCCCTCCGAACCCACGTGTCACCATTCCTCCAGCCCAGGTTAATCAAAGTCTTTAGATAAACAGTTGTCTCGCTGAAATAATAATAATAATAATAATAATTATTATTATTATTATTGGGCCAGGCTTGGTGGAGGATGCCTGTAATACCAGCACTCAAGAGGCTGAGGCAACATAACTCACCTGGCAAAAATTTAACAAATAAAAAAGAGGCTGAGGCAAGAGAATTGCAAGTTTGAGGCCAACCTGGGTTATTAGAGCCAAATAATAACCCAACCTGGGTTATTAGAGTTGTCTCACCACCACCACCACCACCACCTCCCCATTGTTGGGGGACTGTCCTTTTTTTTCTTGGTAAAGCGGACTCCTGCAAGAACACCCTCCCCTATTTCCCCAAGAAAGCCCCTCTTCCTTCCCTCCCATGGCCGATCCCAGCAGCCTCCTTGCCGCCGCCCACCCGCAGCCGATGGGTAGAAACCTTGGGGCCCTGGGAAGGAGGGGACAGGAGGAAGTCTAGGGGCTCCTATTTCGGGTCGCGGGGGACGGGAAGTCGGAGTTGGGGAGGAAGGCTGTAAAAGGGGAGCCAGGGCGGCGCCGCTCCTGGTTCTCAACACCTTAACGTGCGCAGAGCTCGTGCAGCCCGGTTGCTAGGGGCTCAGAGGTTCTAGAACCAAAGACGAAGGCATTATTCCAGCATGCCCGTCCGCGGTTCCCGCCTCCCCTCCTGGTGCTTCCTGGGGGCCGTAACCCAAGTACTGGAGGAGGAGAAGTTCCGAAGGATGACGCAGGGCGGAGCGGGCTCGCTCATCTTCCGACCGCTAGGGAGCTCCTAGAAGCGAGGACACCGCCCTCCGCCGCTCTGCAGCCTCTCTAGCCTCCTCTTCCCCGCCCAGAGCCAGCGAGAGCAAGGAGGCCGGAGCCTTGGGTGGCTGGGGGGATGTGGACTGTACTAAGTCCCCTGATATCCAGGGGAGGCGAAAACTCAGGAGGGCGGAGTCTTGCAGCATTCTCTTTGTTTCCAGCAAATTTTACCCACTGTAAAAAGGCAGGTAGAGTTGCTTATGAAGGGCTCCTCCTCTGCTCCTTTTTCAGCTCCTTCCTTGGCTCAGTGCCGGCGGATCTTTGCTCCCTCCCCCCATCCTTTGATCTTTGGTATGAGCCGATGCTAAGAGGCCAAGGGAGGACGAGGAAAAAGGAAGCAAGCAGGTTTTAAAGGGGACGCAGAGTTTTTATTTTTAAAGCGGCTTTCTCCAATTTCGCAACGACAGGCGCTGAGGAGCAGGTTCCCAGGAGTCGAGCACAGCTGGAGTAGCAGACATCGCTGCTGCTGGAGGAGGGAGCGCCTTGGGCCGGGCGGAGGCGTGAGATTGCTCATCGGAAGGGTGGGGTGCACTTGCCCCCTGCACTCAGCTCCGGCTGCGGAGCTGAACATCTGGATCCGGACAGGGACAGCGGGGTCCATTGCGCAGGTGGCGTGGCTCATGAGACTGGCCAGAGGGTGAGGCCACGCAGGTTGGGCTGAGACAGAGCTGGCATCTCCGGAGCGGGCCCTGGGCGGCAAAGAGGCCGCCGCTATGGCAGGCGAAAACATCTTCCTGTTCGTGCCAAACCTCATCGGTGAGTGCTGCCTGCAGACCAGGGTCAGATGAGAGGGCGAGGGCTTTGGGCAGGCTCCTGATTCCGCCCTGTCTCCGTGGTCCCTTTCCAAGGTTATGCCCGGATTGTCTTCGCCCTCCTTTCTTTCTACTTCATGCCTTGCTGTCCCCTCACGGCCTCCTCCTTCTACCTGCTCAGCGGGCTTCTGGATGCTGTCGATGGACACGCGGCTCGAGCCCTTAATCAAGGTAACAGATGCCCCTGCCCGCCAGCACTGGGGCCCGGCAACCCTTTGCCCCTGACCGCTCAGGACTTCGGAGTCAGAGGACTCTGCCTTCCCCATCTCTGTAGAAAGCATGATGGAATCGCCTGGTTTTGTAGCAGAAGGAAATTTCAACTTGCTCCAGCGAATTCCCTGCTCTCAGAGGGGGAAGAGCAAGACACAACGTGGCCTTGACATGGATAGAGGCCTCTGAATAATACTGCACTCAACAGGTGTTTACTAGGGGCTGCTGTGTGCTGGGCACAAGCAGGAGGATTCCAGAAGGCAGGCTGAGGGATGGGAGAGGAGCACTGATTGATTCATTAATCTGATGGCCAGACCCATCTTTTAAGACTTCCCCTAGCTGGGTGTGGTAGTGTGCAAGCTGGTAGTGTACGCTTGCGCACACGCGTGCGCGCACACACACACACACACCCCTGTTCAGGGCCAGCCTGGGTTGCATAGAGACCCTATCTTTAAAAAAAAAAAAAAAAAAAAAAAAAAAAAACCCTTTCCTTATTGTGCCCGGAGGAGCCTGGGTGCTGAGGTTGAATTGAAGACACTCCTCGACACCTACACAGGCACTCACAGTTCCCCTTGCTCTTGTTTCCTGTCCTGGTGGCCCTTGCACTGTTCTCATACCCGACTGACAGCAGCCTCTTTTCCTCCCTGCATGGTGGACATTCTCAGTCTGCTTTTAGACAGTCAGTGATGTACCACATATAGGCATTGTCCCCAACAACCCCTTCCCACCTAATATAGTCCCTGTTTTTCAGGAACCCGGTTTGGGGCCATGCTGGACATGCTGACGGACCGCTGCTCCACCATGTGTCTGTTGGTAAACCTGGCCCTGCTGTACCCTCGGGCCACCCTTCTCTTCCAGCTCAGCATGAGCTTGGATGTGGCCAGTCACTGGCTACACCTGCACAGGTCTGTCCTGGCTCTGGGTGCTGCAGTGAGGAGAGGGTCTGGGACGGCTGCACGATTCTCTGGATGTTCCCTTTTAAGTTCTGCTTTGCTGAACCATCCTGGGCAAGCTGTCTCTCTCAATCCTGTTTGCAGTGGGGTTAAACGGTTCCTCGGCCCCTTCCGGCTGATATTCTGGGGTTCCAAATGATGCGATACTAGATGGGTGTTGGCAGCAATGAACGCTTAGGGATCCTCCTTATTTCCTCTCCAAGCTCCGTGGTGCGAGGCAGCGAGAGTCACAAGATGATCGACCTGTCTGGGAATCCTGTGCTCCGGATCTACTACACCTCTAGGGTGAGCCCTTCCTGTCCTTCCTGGCCTCATTCAGCTGAAAGTCCTGGCTGAACCCTGGCCCCAGGTCTAGAGAGGGCACAACGACCGGGGAGGGCCCAGGGAGGATCCGGGAGGAGGAGCCTGTGGGGCTGGGGGGGGTGGGGTGGCGGGTGTGAATCTTCCAGCAGAGGTGCCAAGGAGGGGCCTGCGCCACCCAAGGGGAGGAACGGAGGCTTGAAGGAAGAGGGGAGGGAGAGGGGCCAGAGAGAGGTGTGCGTGTGCGGATGCTGAGTGTGGGCTTTGGGGGGAGGGGGGCGCGGCTGGGCAGCCTGGGGAAGGCGGTTTACACACCGGGTGACCTGCTGAGATGGGCTGTGCCACCCTCAGCGGTAGGGGACAGGCAGGGGCACTGGGCCCTGCCTCTTGCTCAGCAGTCTGCGCTTTCTGCAGCCCGCTCTCTTCACACTGTGTGCTGGAAACGAGCTCTTCTACTGCCTCCTCTACCTGTTCAATTTCTCCGAGGGACCATTAGGTAGGAGAGGAGGGGCTGGGCAGGAGGATGGGAGGGCTCTTGCCTGCCTGGCCCCGCCCTGCCCCTGCCCGGGAGGTAAAGCCCTCGGTCCCCTGGACCCCTGCATACATGCTGCCGCCTCCCACAGTGGGCTCTGTCGGGCTGTTCCGAATGGGCCTCTGGATCACGGCCCCCATCGCCTTGCTCAAGTCTGTCATCAGCGTCATCCACCTGATCACCGCGGCCCGCAACATGGCTGCGCTGGATGCTGCAGACCGTGCCAAGAAGAAGTGACCCTGAGCCGCCAGCCCTCACCTGCCCGCGATCTCACAGCGCCACACCGCTCCCCTCCTGCGCACGCACCGGAGGCCCCAGTCTCACATCATCCTGTGTTGTGCCCTCCACCCAGTGGGTGGAGTCAGCCTGTCTCTGGTCTTGTCACCATCTCTGTAATCCTGTGGGCCCATCTCTGGGGTCCCCAAGGACCTGGACTACAAAGGAGGAAGGATGCTGAGAGGCTGTGCCCTTTCAGCTGGGGCTTCTGGGGACTGCCACACCCGCTGCTGGCTGGGCCGTAGGCTCCACCTGGCCTGAGAGTTGAGGGACGCTTGAGTGACAGAGATAAATTCGGTGTTGGCTTCCTAAAGACAGAGGAGTCGGACCTCTGCTCCTGGTCAGATGAAGCCTGGGACACCATGTCCCAGAGGGAAGGCGTTGTCATTCTCCCTGTCTGGTCTGCTCCAGCCCAGGAAGCCCCCATAATAAAGGCAGGAGCTTCACTCTTGTGGATGTGCTTTCCTTGGAGACATTCTGGGCTGAGGGGAGCACAGAGAGAAAGGGAAGTCTCTAGGTGCTTCCCCCCAGCTTTGTCACCGGCCCCTTCCTGTCAGGTTACACCACACAGAGGTCCTCCCTGTCCCCCAAGTTCGTGCTCACTGCTCTGCCCACCTACTTTGCTTTTATTTAGGTACTGATATTTTCTCCCCACAGTGGAGAATAGGCAGTAAATAAGCCTATTTTCTTCATTTCTCTGAGTAGAATGAAGATCGCCCTTAACCTGACGCACAGTAGGCTGCTTAATGAATATTCCTGCAAAAATCAGTGGTCTTCTCAGAGTGGGGCCCTTAGACAACCTATTGAATTCTTCTTGTATTTTGTAAGTTTTTATCATGGTACTGCAGATTGAACTGAGGTCCTTGTACTGAGCTATATTGTCAGCATTAAAAAAACATGGGTCTGGGACTATAATAGCGCAGTAGTGCAGTGCCTGCATGGCAAGTGCCAGGTCAGGAGCTCAAGCCCTGGTACCAAAAAAAAAAATTTTTTTGAGACATGGTCTTGGTAAATTGCCCAGGAAGGGTTCAAACTTGTGATCCTCCTGCCTCAGCCTCTCAGAGTATAGGCCTATAGTTGTGCCCCACACCTGCAGGATAGTTCCAAAAATGTTACCACAGAATCTTCAGAAATGGGCCAAGACATCTGCAAACTCCAGGTGATTCTTCCCAGAAATGTTGAAAGTCCATGTTCCTTCTTTTTTTTTTTTGTGGAACCAGGAATTGAACTCAGGCCCTTGAGCTTGCCAGGGAGGCGCTTATTCTACTAAGCCACTCCCTGACCCCACCCCCTGCTCCTCCTTACCAAAAAAAACATTTCTGGAGCTGGGCATGGTGTCCCACTCTGGTAATCCCAGTACTCAGGAGGCTGAGATAAAAGGATTGCTGAGAGTTTGAGGCCAGCCTGCACTACAAAGTGAGACCATCTCAAAAGCGAGGGGGTGGGGACATCACCACATACAGGGTGTTCTGGGGCTCTGCCCCATCCATCCCCCCTACCACCTGAGGCTTTCTTCTGTGCCAAGTAACTTTTTTGTACTGGGGATTGAACTCAAGCCCTTGTGCAAGCACTACCCCTGAACTACATCCCCAGGCACTAAGATAACTTCTTTTTAATCTTTTATTTATTTGGTACAGGGTCTTGCTGTGCAGCTCAGGCTCCAGTAATCCTCCTGTCTCAGCCTCCCCAGTGCTGGGATTACAGATGTACACCATCATGCCCCTTTCGGTGGCTGGCCTGGCATGGGGCCAGCATGGCATGTGGTACCTGGGATCGAACCCAGGTCCTTGTGCTTGCCAGGCAGGTACTTAGATAGCTGAGCTATCTCCTGCACCCAGTAGAGAACTTCGAAAAACTGCATTGGATCTGCCATATGCCAGATCCTGTGCTAGGGTTCTTGGCAAATGTTACTCATCCCATTCTCAAAATAGCTCAGCCAGGTGGCCAGAGCAGGCTCTTGTGCCTTGAAAAATTCAAATTCACCAGACGTGTGTTGGGCCTCAAGTCCTGGGGGAGGCCTGCGGCATCAGGGGAACTCACCAGTGGCTGCCAGCCCTTTGAGGGTTATGAGCAGCTGGGAGTGCAGTGGCCACATGGGGAGGGACTTGTGTGGGATGGCTGGAAGGCGCCCTGCAGCTCCTTTGGTTTGGAGAAGGCCAATGCCGGTAGGGACCGGGGAGGCAGGCGCTCGCTCGTGTTCTTAGCTCAGAAGCGGCAGCATAATGTGGGAAAGGCAGGGAACACCCAGGCGGTGGCAAACACGAGTAGAAGGGGTGGGACAGGTGTCCACCAACGTGCATTCTGCACAAAGGAGCTTAACTAAGAGGGACATTTCTGCCGTGAGAAGTTGTGTGGTCAAGCAGCACTGTGACCTGTCCTAACAGACGACAAAAGGTAGAAAAACTAAAGGGCGGCACAGGGCTACCGGATAAATCCTGAGAGTACTTGGCTGACCTTATCAGATATAAAAGTTACATTTTTTGTTATATAGGTCTTGCTATATCTTGGTCTTAACCATCCAGCAGAAAAATATAAAAACGAGGTATATAAAGTAAAGCCATATTAATAGGATGAGCTGTAAAAGGCTCAAGTCAATAACTTTTTTTTTTTTTGGCCGAACAGGGGATTGAACTCAGGCCCTTGGGCTTGCCAGGGAAGCACTTATTCCACTGAGCCATCTCCCCCGCACAAGTCAATAACTTCTGAGGATAACCCACTAATATTATAGACTGCTAGACAGTGTTAGATTGTTTTTTAAAAATATA